GCCTTGTTTGTGTGAATATTTGCCAGTGGGTTAAACGTGTGCACATCGACATCCGCATCAAATGGCCAAGCGACGTTTAGCAGTCGATAAAGTCATTCAGTGCAGCACGTGAATGTCGGTTGCTAAGTTATGCATGTGTGTGTGTGAGTATACATGTTAGCCATCCCCCTTCGTATTACGCTTTTGTGATAAAGTAATCAGCTGATGCCGCCGGGCAAAGTCCATGCAGCGATAGCCATCGATGGATGTCAACTGGGGGCCACGACACTGACCGTCGGTAACCGCAAAATGTTTATTGATTATTTGCGACACACACAAGCGCACACTCACTCACCTACACACACACACACACTCAGTACGAAATGCATTTTATGCGGTTAAATATTGACGAAAATTGTATGCAAACTTTTAGATTTTATTTACCAAACAAATAGCAGGGACGAAAGGAAAAAATGTGTTGTAAAATAAATCAAACCGAAAACCAGTCATGCCGAATTGGCCAAAACAAAAACCGAATTCAGCAAATACCAAATCAAAATAGTTTGGCCAAAAACAAATAGGGACATCAAATGGTCGAGGTATTGGGTTTGTGCCCTCGAAAAAGCCTCTCTCTTATGGCCAGAACGGCGTGTCTAGACGGTATTGCATTTCGGCCATGGCCAATAAACCAAATGCGAACATTCGTCCTACACTAAAAATTAACAACGGCGACGACACGTTTTGGCCAAAAACCAAAAAAAAAAAAGAAAAGAAAAGGGGAAAAGTGAGAGACAGAGCAAAAGGCATAAACCAAAAGACAGACAACTGACAGACGGCCAAATGGAATAAGAAATGGCAATGAAAATAATAAAAGTCCCGAATGAAAGAACACGGCGGAAAAAAGGATGGAAAGGATGGTAAAGCCATGAATGAAAATCGGAAAATGCTAAGCAAACACACACACACAGAGAGAGACACAAAAAAAAGGCATAACTCCAAGTGGATTTCCAGATGTGCCTGTGTATGTGTGTGTGTGTGTGTGAACAGGTTGTGTGCACTGAAATAAAAACGCAACAATGCGCAATCATCATTATCGTTAAAAGAGGCGCTTACAGAACTAGACAAATTGCCACTTTAGAGAGCTGGACCAGGCCAAAAGCCAAAAGGCTCAAAGTGGCAACAACATCAGCAACACTTGCCGATGCCACAGCAGCAATAGCAACAGCAACACCAGCATCAGCAGCAGCAACATGAAGAGCAACAAGAGTAACATGAGCGGAAGTTGGCGGCCACAACGTGCCGAGCGGACCAAGGAAGCGTCTATAATGACCTCGGGGCAAATGGGCCAACACGCACACTCACACTTACCAACACACAGCGACCCCGCATAAAACCAAAATGGCGCACATTAGAGACCCTCAGCGCACAGAAGTATGCTACGCTTGGCCATTTCAGGCTATGTTGGCTAACCGAAAACGACCAAAGGAGCCAAAGAGCAACAAGCCAGCTCACAAAAAACAAAAAGAAAAGAACAACCGTAGAAATAGAAATAAAAACACGAACCGAAAAAAAAAATAACACTCATAATCAACTGCCGCCGTCGACTGAACAATGAATAGAATCCAACAAACCCAACAAATAGAAGTGGGAGTTCAGCAGCCACATCAACGGGAGCAAGTTCAAGGTTCAGCGTCTCATTGCTGGCTTTTGTTTAGTCGTCAGTATAGCATAGGCTAGCACTTTTTTTTGGCCTTAATTATAGACACGCACAGGAACACACACACAGAGTCACAAACATGAAGCGAACAATTATGTTGGCTTCTGCACAGCAGCAACAGTCAAGCGCAGCAGAAACATGAGACTCAAATTTGTTTTAGTGCACAGAAAAAAATGTGTTAAATTATGTGTGAAAGAAATATAGGAATTAAAATGTTAATATATAAAGTTTGGTGAATAAAAAGTGAATAGGAATTATTCAGCAATTAATAAAACTTTCTATAAGCAAGGCAAACTTTTGAAATTCTGCCTGAAGACTTTTTTCTTCTTTTTATAAAAATTTTGTAATATTTTTTAAACAAGAATCAACTATTTATGAGAACAATAATAAATATAATAATAAATTTATATGAATACGAGTATAAGCCTCTCAAGGTGAATATTATATTTTTGTACAAATTATTAAGATTTCAAGAACTAACAAAAACGTATACTTAATTTTTGATTTGTCTTTCAAAGTAAGAAAATGTCATTACAGCAATATTTCCCGACATAGAAATAACCAAATTTCAAGATTTTAAGTTTTTTATATCAAAATAAACTTATTTTTTAACTTGTAAAACTTAGAAAAAAGCTATAAAGTTTTATTAATAATATTTACTTTAATTAAATTTCTACATTTTTAAGTCACAAACCTACCAGACTACACTGTTTTATGAAAAACTTCAAAAAATATATTTTTTTTGTCATTAAAATTTCTTTACCATTTTGTGAAAAAATAAAAATCTTTTTCCCCTGTACGACTGCTTGGTAATTTGCCGGCATCTAAATGCTTTCCAAGAGCTCTCATTAATAGGAGGGTCAGAACCCTTCCCCCCTTTGGCCCTTCTTAACAGCTCTGATTGCTGCTCCTGCTGGTGGTGCTATTTCCACTGCTGCTCATGCAATGGCGACAGCAATTATTGTTACAATTAAAAAACCATTAGGCGTAATTTGGTTACTTTTTGTGGCTCCTTTTTCTCGGCCATGTACCGAGCATTTGTTTGATTGGGCCACACGACACTTCCGTTGGAAAAGGCGCCGGAAAAACGCAATGAAAACATTAATTTACCGCCTCAGAATCAATAAGTATATGAAAGTGCACAAAAAGTCAAAGAGAGTGAGAGGGAGCCTAGCCTAAGAATAACTAATCCCTTGGCTTAGGTATTTACCCTCGATTTCAAATATTCATGGTAATAACGCAGAAATTGCTTAATTCCATTTAATAAGCTGGAAATGTCTCTCTTTCGCCGGCAATTGATTGTTGTTACAATGTGTAATTTACTGGCTTTTCCTTGGAGGAATGTTACGAACTTTCAAGTTAACTATTTATGAAATTGAACTTTGGCTGCCATTAGCGCATAATTTCCCAAGTTCCGAGAACCACCGAAAAAAAGGGGAAGTTCGAAACGATTTCTGAAAACGTTTTCTCCTTTTCTTTTATTTTCCTTTTTCGATTATTCTCTCTTTTTTTGGCCTTTTTTCCTAGAGTTGTGCTCTGTAACACACATGCAACATGCCACACGGAGCAAAATGGCCGCAAAGTGATGGGCCTAGGCTGCCATTGATTGGCAGCTGTCTCACATGGCACCCACTCCCCTAATCCAGGCTACTGTGCCCCCTTTTATGCCACCAGCTGAGTGTCAAAGGCGCTTAAACGCTTTGAGCATGCCGGCCCCCTTTCTTTCTCCTTCTTGCTTCTTGCTGTACTTTTTTTTCGGCCAGGTTCTTTAGCCATTTTTTTCAGGCTCTGGCCAATCTTCTCAGGTTCTTTTGTGCCCCGCGAAACGGGCTGAAACGCTTTTTTTCGGCCTTTGCATTTAATACCCTAACTGGCTGCGGCAAAATTCCACAGCGTTTTTTTTTCGGGGTCTTTGTGAAATAATTAAGCTTTTGTCTATTACGGGTAATTTAAGGAACTTCTTTGGCAAGCTGGGAACACAGAAGTTACAACGCTTTGGGAATAATAGTTTACTGGCAAAACATAAGAATTTTTACTAACACGTGGTAGGAATTATATTTAAACTTGTAAGCTATAAAGGCTTGACCTAAACGAGAGCAAAGAAATAACAAAAATTGATCAAAAATAAAAAACAAAAATGCATAAAAACAAATGATTAAGCAATACCTTTAAATATGTAATAAACTTTTAGGATATTCTTAAAAAAAAAACGTTTAAACGGTAACTAAAAATATTTTAAGTTTCCTTGCTTTAAGGGTTACAGAGAGAGGCCTAAAGCTTGAATATTTCTTAAATAATATTAAACCAAAAATGATTTCTATTTTTTGCTTTTAGCCAAATAAAAATAAATATTATGCTATGTATTAATAATAAGAAAATGTTAGAGATGATTAAAAACAGAATGAAAGTAGTCAAGATTCGAACTAACTAAAGTGCTGATCATACCATAAATGACTTACATCATGCATGAAACTAAAATGCAAATAGATATCCTAATTTAAGCTTAATTTAAGTTATTCATGATTGTTGGTTAAAAAGGGCATTTAACGGTCGCCTTGCTGCACTAATTTCTTAACCCTCTACTGCGGTTCTGTGCTCATAATCACCAAAAAACAGACGGAGGGTCGGGAGTGCTTTTGAAGTTCTTTCTGCTGGCATTGTTGTTGCTCTTTGGTGGCACAAGAGGGGCATGCAGAGGCATGGCAAGAGGGGTTACAGAACGCAGGGCAAGGGCAGGCGAAACAACCTCGACATGCGATGCAATCGCCAGCGTTTTTTTTTCGACCAGCTTTTGTGTCTTGGTAGCAAATTTTTTCATTTTGGAGTCGCTAGTCGCGAGTTGTGAGCTGCGACCAGGTGGCTACTGTTATGGCCAAGATATTGCACACTTTACCCAGAACAGAACAGAGCAGAACAGAAAAAAGAACAACAAAAAAGAAGGCGAGAAAATTCCGCTTAGAGCTCTTCTAAGTGGCAATAACAATTTGGCCGTTTGCATTTGCAATTTATGCGCTGAATGGGCCAACTTGGCTGCACAAATGCAAATGGCAACTGATGGCCAAAAATAACTCCTTTGTCTCGCCTTTTTTCTTTAGTATTTTGTGGCATTTTTCTTAAGTTTTAAGCCAGGTAAGAGAGATAGAGAGAGAGAGAGCGAACGGGTTGCAAACAAGTTGGAATCAACTGGTCAGCGAGGGTAATGCAAAGTGAAACACGCTTGGCAGGTAGCGCTCAGGTGGGATTCTGATTGGATTCGCTTGGGAGAACGTTGCACAGTCTTTGGGATCGAGATTTGTATATTCACCTCAGAGGAAACTGATGATTAAGCGATGAGATTTCTCGTTGCTTTTCACTTTTCACTTGAGTTTCGGTTTTTCTTTTTTGGTATTTTATTACATTCAGTTGGTTTATTTCTTGGCACTAGTTGGCTCACAATTTCCACGAGTTTTCCGCTTTTCCACTTTCCCGCTCAACAAACATCCGCCAAAGAGTACCGTTCGAGTCGCGATTTAAAGACAAACTGACTAAAAGCCGTCGCTGTTGCTTCGCCGCCGAAGTTTTCGCACATATCTTCGGCTTTTTTTTTTTTTGGCTTCGGCTTCGCTCTCATTCGTTTGGCATTCGCCAAAATTCGTCGGTGACGAGTTTCGAGCTGGCAATGCCCAGCCAACTGTTACTGGGTACAGTTGCAGGACCTACCGGCGTTTTAACAGTTTGTTTTGCTGTTAAGTTAACAGTGGGAAGAGAAGTTGGTGTATGTTAGGGGATATTTTTAACATTAGTATAGTTTTTTATTTGCTTTTAAGAGTCTACTTGCTGTTAATTTATTATTATAGTTAAGTTTAAAATATATAATTATTTGTTATTTTTTAGAAAATACTGTTTTTTGAATATTTTTAGCTATTTTTTTATTTTTAATGAGGTTAAAACTTGTTTTAAATAATAATAAATATAAATATTATTTTTTAATCTATCTGAATTACTGAATACAGTTTAACTAAGCGTATACGTTATTTATATAATACAAATATATTAGCTGTGGTTAGGAAAGGGAGGAAAATAATTCCATTTAATGCACTTTCCCACAAACACACCATGTGCTTAAATCAGTTTTCATCAATTCCAATAAATACAAGTAGCAACCAAGGAGATCTCACGGCCTTGCAGTCCTAATTAGACCAAGTTAATAATAGATTTGTATAAGCCCAGAAAGGCAACATTTGCCTAACACCTTCTTTGGCATTTAAATAGAACTTTCACTTAATTGCCATAAATTAGAAGTGCCAAAACGTGTTGCATTAAAATTTCAGAGCCATTTGCCGTTGAGCAGGGAATCAAGTGATTGACCACAAAGATTGCGCGACGGGGGACGACGGGGCGGGGATTGAAATAAAATCGTTTGGAATTAGGGCATGTGGAATAATTTATGCTCGAATTAATAATGGCACGTAGCCAATCATTTGAATGCGATTTAATTAATTTCCCATGCGGAGCTACACCTTGGAAAACCTCGGGGCTCTCAGTAATGACAGGACTTAAGCCACTCGTTGGCCACCTAGATGGATATGCACTACTTACGACCGCTTGTATATATCAATAAAATCAAATAAATATATCGTTTGAGTCCCAATGGCCAGGGCCAGTGCCATCCACCTGAGATCCGCACGCATATAAATAACCAATGATGCGGCATTTATCTCCCCACCACCCATCACCCACTCCTACCTTTTACCCCTACCGACGACTGGCCATCAGTCTCGGCTTACGTTCCATTTAAAATGGTTTTGGGCCGTCGTGGGGGCCATTGAAACTAAAGACGAAGAAATTGTTCTTTCACTGCACTGGAAATATTTGTAGTTGACTCCTGGAAATTCATTAATCAGGAAGGTTTTTAAGGGGTTAAGGAAAGGCAAGGAAATGCTTACGAATATCTTTTAATTCTAAGAACTTTCAAATAGTTTATAAACATGAATTCAAACTAAACATAAACCTTTATTAGAATATTCACTTTTCACTCTGTAAAAACCCTTAAATTTAACTCCATTTTCCAGAATTTCTAACAGTGTTTCTCCTCCATTGTTCTGTGGGAGTTGGTAGGAGACACCAACCGAGCCAAAACTTGGGGCTAAAAGGGATAAACGTTTTTAGCATGGCCTGCACGATTTTTATGCAGAGAACGTGTTGTTGCTGCCCCTTTTATTCCTTGTGCCCCCTGTGCCCCCATACCCCTCTTACCCACCATTTGATCCTTTTGGCTCAGAGGCTCTTGGCCATGTCCGTGCGACTGTTTCGCGTCATTTGCTCTCTGCTGGATCGTAATTTTATGGCTGCCAGCAGCTTCTTGGGTCTCCAATTGCTGGGCTGGGAACGAAGGAAGCTGGGGGGAGGACCAAAGTGAAGGCATGGCAGGCAGTCAAAGCAAACGGAAGTAAACTGAAGCCAAAAATTCTCGTTTTTATTTGACGAAGCGTTCAGTTCCCAGAGCATTCCTCCAGAAGTTGTCAAAACAAAGCGAGCGAAACTAACAATAAGTGAGTGAAGTGGAGAGTGGCAAGGAGAGGAGGGAGGCTGAGATGAAGGAGGTGTTTGGGCCAAGGTAGGGTAACAATGGGCCAACTGCATCACCTGGCATCGGACCAAACGCCGGGCGGAGCTGAGAATATCGCTTACCAACTCGTTTGGCAATTTTTCTCAATTTTCACATTGAAAACTAAGCGCCGGTGCTACGAAAGTGCCGCCCACCAATAGTATCATCCGCTTCCCTAGCCAACCCCTTTTATGCCCCCTCCATCAACCCCTCTTTTGGACTTGATATTTGGGCTTCCAATTTGAGTGGAGCTCAGGGGGATCTGAAAGGATGGGGTGGGGCCTCCGGAGGGAGGTGTCAGCGGCACAAAGCCAACTGGATTTCCGCAGGCCAACTCGGGTTCGCTGGGCACTGGGAGAATGTGGTAGGGGATATTTTTTTTTATTTTATATTAGAAAAAAAGCTTAATTTTAATGAAATTAACAATTTAGTTAATTCAACGATTCTTATCTTTGTTTTCACTTTTTCATAACGTAATAACTTAAATTATAGCACATTTTCTCCCAGTGCACTTATCGTATCCACCTCCATCTTGGGACTGCTGGCCATGTTGCTGTTGCACGATTGCTCTTTGGTGATTTGGATTCCCAACTCACAAACACACACACACGCAGTGAAACAAAGCACAAATTGTTGTATGTAATTGTGCGTTGGCACACATACACACACACCCACACACACACACATACTTGCTCGCATTAACACAACAACAAGTGGAGCAGCCACACGAGCTCACCTGCCGCTGCGTGCGCCGAATTCCATTGCATACTTGGCGGCGCCTGCTTCGGCATTCCTTCCCCTGCCACACCCTCAGCTGCAAGGCTACCTTTTCCCCCATAACACCCTGTTTTCCACCTCACCCTGCACCCACAACCCTGTGCAAATAAAAAGTGATATACGCGCGACACTGAATGAATATTAATCGCTTTCTTTTTGCAACTCCCCATACTGTTTGGGGCACCTTCACCATCACTGGCTTCCTGCCGCCCTGCCGCCCTGGATCCCTGTTTCCCTCTTTCTCCGTATCCTTTTGTTTGGACCATCTGGCCAGCTGATTTGGCAGCTTAAATGATTTCCGCTTCGACTTGACTGCGTGCGGAATTCACGGAAATTTATTAGTTAAGTCTAGCTGATTGTTCCTGGTCTGCCGTTTGGAATAACTCGGAGGTCCCTTGATTTTCCGTCTGGGTTTCATTTCACTGTTTTGTTTTTTCTTTCTCACTCACTTTTTCATGGCAAAAAACATTGTAGGAACAGCGAAAAAAACTATATAATCTGGCCTAACTCATTAATTACAGTTAGGAAAAAGTTTAACAAATAAAAATCTAAAACTATTTATCGATCGGAAAGAACATATTTTGATGAATGAATTTCCTTGTTAAGGTTTTACAAAACTTATGGTAAAATATATATCTAAAATCCCTTTTTTATGAGTGCATATTCCCCTAGAGCCTCAACTTGTCACGAGGGTTAACACGTTCCCTGTTTTTTTGGCCACCCCTTGTACTTAGCACCTTTGAAAGGCTTCACTGTTTTTCTTACAAAAAAAAAAACCCAAAAAAAACACAAAAAATGTCACAAATTTCGGGCAATTCAATTTTGGGCCCTCGGTGGATTGAAAGTTTGTTTGGGAATTCTTTTCGCTGAGGTGTTTTATTTTTAATGAATTTTTCGCATTAAATTTCGCAACAATGAATCGCTTTGTGCCCGCCAGGAGGGGAGATTCGATGTCACCAAGGTGTTTGCATCGCTTGACACCTCGTCTGGTCGAATGACCCAACTCCCATACCCCAGTTACCACCTCCCCCTCTTAATCTTTCCAGGGAGTTGGGTTCCTGAGTCTGTCAGGTATTTCCGCAAACATGTTTGCATGTTTTGCCACACAGAATTTATAGTTAATTTTCAATTTTGTTCAACAAGCTGCACAGACACTAACAACGCTCTCTCTCTCTCTGTGGCACACAGGCTCACATAGATTTGAATGAATGGATTCCATTTTGCTGGTGGAAAAGGTGGAAAGGGGCGGCTGTTTCAAAAGTGGGCGGGGCAGGCACCCTGTGTCAAAGGCAAACTTTGCAGACAACAAAAGCCCGTTTTCAGTCTAAGGGGAAAGAAGATGCAGCAGAATCAGAAGGACAAGGATGGGGGGTTCAAACTTTACGCTCTCCATTCTAATTGCCAGAGCTATAGCAGGTTCCCCCCTTTTTTTGTGAGGTGTCACGGGCTACGCCCATGCGGCTTTTGATTCTCTGTGGTTGGTGCGTCTACGAAAAAAAAAGACATCTAAATAATAAAAAAATAAAATAAAACTCAGACACACTCGCAACGAAACTAATCTGGTAGTGAACCCGAAACATGACACACTCACTGGGAGAAATTTAATCGTTTTGTAAGGAATGTGATGAAATATTTGTTTTTAAATATAAGTTTTTATATTTTTATGTTTATAAATCATTTATATTTATGAATCTTTATTAGTTTAATCTTTTCTGATTCATTTGTGGGTATAATTACTGCTTAATTTCATATTTTAGACGTGACTAAGCTAATATTTTTGACTTTTTAGTTAGCTTTTATCAGCAAAATGAAAATGTACAAATATTAATATATAATCTTAAACAGCTATTTATAATACTATTATTATTTGAATATATATAAGTCTATTTTGAGAGTGATTACTATCCTCTATCTTATCATATTTTTTGAGATTAGTCTTAAACTTTTATTTTATTCATACTTAAGCACTTGTCATTTATATTTTACTTATATTAATAACTCACATATCCCTTAAACTAAACTTATTTTATAAACTTTATATAGCTTTTCCCATAACTTATTTTTCCCCTGTGCCAAGAGCTCCCCGTACACCCGTATATACATAGAAAAGCAATTTGTTTGCGGCTCTCACTATTGTTGCATGATTATTGTTTGTTTGGATGCGTCTGCTTGCCAACTGAATCGCGGCTCTAGTCGCCTCCCCGAATTTTCACCATTTCCCAGCCAACCATTTGTCCCCCCCACCATCTTTGTCACACTTTTTTTCCAGCAGCTTCGGTACATACGAGTATGTTAGTGAGTCTGTCCTTGCGGTGTATTTAACCTGTCTGCTTGTTGGATTACGACAACCAGTCCACAGACAGACAGAGGGGAGGGGATTCAGCAGGAGGGCAGTGTGTGTGTGTAAACAAAACAGGCAACAAAACATGTATCTATTCATACGCCACTTTGTGTCAAGAGAGGGAGAAGAGGGGAGCTAAGAAAAAAGGGGTGCGAGTGGGTGGGTGGGCATATGGGTAATGCAATACGCATGCAACGATACCACAAGAGCCCCAGAACCAGGCTCATACCCTCAGACAGACCTCCACTGGGTTAGCAGACATTTTAACGCTTATTTTACTTTTGGCTAGAAAAGAACACCCCCTGAAGGCAGCACACACACACACACGCCCCACCCACCGACCGCAATGTTCACACTTATTTGCCTTTACACTCAGCTCAATTGCGTTTCACTTGGCAAAGAATGAACTTTAATGCTGCGTCCTCACCGTTTCCATGATGGAAATCTGTTTGATCGCTTCGCTGTGAGCTTGAAGGAAACCCATGAAGACATCGTACACGAAATATGAATAGAAAACTAAATAATATAAAAATTGATTACTATTTATGGTTAATATATGAGATATGACATGATTACCTGCTATAATTTGAAGTAGGGGAACCACCCATAACAATCTAACCTCCACAAAACGGTGATAAACAAAAGATTTATAAATTAAGGTGTAGATAAAAATGCACGAAGCCACCACCCAGGGCAAACGCAACCAATGAGAACTCTACACAAAATATTTATAAATATTATATATTTCTATATAAATCCCAAAATGATCTTACGTAAAAGCCACTCATGAACAGGAATATACCACCGATGACCTGCAACACACAAACATGTCTCCACACACTGATCTCCATGCACTTGTAGGTCTCCACAAAATGATTCATAAAAGCCAAGATAGAGCAGGAAAGTATCACGGAATGAATGGCGATAGCCATACGCACGTGTTTGGCTTTCAGTGATAGAAACATTTTCAAAAACTCAAATCGAAACTTCAAGTTCAACTTGAAACCCAACTTAAAACTCAACCGAATCCAACGCTCAATCAACCAGAACTGAGAGAAACTTAGGTTCCAAAAGCCCCTCAGCTGGGAGGCCTTATCAATAAACGTTTTTTACTAAGTAAATAATAACATTATCGAAAAGGGTTGATTACTGTAGCAAATGAAAGTTGATTTACACCTTAAAATATATTTTTTTTTAATAATATTTATAAACAAAACCATTCGAGAGAGTACAATATACACTTTAATTTTAAAGACAGTTTATATTTATACCAATTTTATATTTTTTTATTTAAAACTAACACTATTTCTTATCAAGTTTCGAATTATTGTAGTTTTCTATTCAAAATATTTTATTATTATTTTTAAGACAACTTTAGCTCTCTGTGTAGCCTTGAAATCATATGGAAGTTGATTATTGCTAACACCTTTTTGGCAAATAATATTTCGATATCAGATAAGTTCATGAACATATATACAAAGAGTGCTGAATATATATCCAAGCAATAGCATTTAAGTTGGGTCACAAATTCCCAAAACACCCCTCGAGGGCATATAATATGTTTTCTTAGAAAAACTTCTGATAACGCTATGACGTGCATTTATACTTCGTTTTCTTTAATATATTCATTATGTAGTGTTATTCATTAAACGTTAATCATTGTTAGTCATTAAATTTAGAAGAAAGATTAGTTTTCATTGTCTTGCAAGAGTCTAATCCAATATGCAAAGCCAGCAACTCACAGCTTATCCATTTTATTTTTTTAAGAATTTCTTTTTCTTATTAGAAATTTTTTATCATCATTGAAAAAACCCCAAATTTCTTTTATTTCTTTTTAGCAAGGTTAATTTTTAAAGATCGTTGATTACTTTAGTTTGGGTTATCGAAAAAAAAGAACTGCTAATGAAAAACTTCAACCAGACTGGAGGTTATGGAGCTTGGACCGCCGATGAATGTTCGTCTTAAGTAGCTGAAGCTTTTCGCGTAAATTAGCCAAGTGTAGACTTCATTAAGTTGGGCCAGTAAATTAAGTGCTAATGTCGAAAGTTTTGACCGACAAAGTGCGCAATGAAATGGTGTAGTTGTTGTTGTTGTTGTTGCTTTGCCTGATATTTTTGCAGCACTCTTGGCGAGGAAAGAGCCGCGGGCAATAGAAAAGCAAAAGCAGGAGCAGCTTCATCCGCATTCGCCTTCCCATCCCCGAGAAACCGCAACAACAACAGCGGGAGTAGCACCAGAAATTAGGGTTAAGTCTTAGTATAGAATATGGGAATACCTCTTAGAAAATATGTTTTATTTAAGTTTAAGAAATCATAAAGTTTAAATAATTTATTTAAACATTTTCTAAATTTTTAATATTACAGAAAAAATCGACTTTTCCAGGGTATCAAATCAGGGAGACTCAGAACCTTAAGAACGCTAAATTGATGATGTAGACCAGCGAAGGAAAATTGCACTCACTTTCCCCGGTAACCTCAGCTTCCCACACCCCTGCCCAAAAAAACATGGGGCAGCTGGCACGCCCCTCACCAACATTTTAGCCCGCCCCCTTAATGTCTGCGTGAGGCGAGAAACAGTCTGCAAATTTTTAATGCTTTAATCTTGATGCTAATAAATCTTGAAGTTCCCTGGCACTTTTACATTACTTTCAGAAGGAGAAAGGGTTCAGGCAAAAGAGGAAGGGGGAACGGTGGCAAATACAATTAGACAGCTGCACGCTTAACGTTCTTAGTTTAAGCCAATTTGAATGCACTTTAACCCCCCAAGCAGCCCCAAACAGGCCCACCTCATACCCCCTTTGGTAATTGCAAGTGACACTTGAGGCGAGTTGCCTTGCTGACATCGCCTCTAATCGAATTTCGAGCTGTTCAGTGCGTGTGGCCTGGCCATTGATTAGCCCAAACCCTAGAGCTTTCTAAAAAGGGTGGTATCCATCCATCAATAGAGAGATATAGAGAGGCGAAGGGGAGGGTAGTCAAAGTTCTGGCATAATTTCCCTGGCAAAAGTTGGCCACAATGTCATCAGCGGCACTTGCCAGTTGACAGTTTTGCGGTGGAGGGATGGAGGTCACGAGTCCAGGACCACGTCGCTCTGACACACAACTGTCAGAATGGCGTGTGACAAATTTTTGGTTATTAAACGAAGGCGAACCTCGTTTTATTAACTTGAAATTTATGGCCAACCATTTGCCAAGACAAATTAATCAAAAAAAACAAAAAGAAAGAGAGCAGCAAACCTACGCTTGGCTTTTATTTTCGTGTACATAAATTTGTATTTAAAAATGAGTTAGACTCGGAGCTTTTGGCTCAATTTCACGGGATCTCAGCTACCAGATTCTCCCACCTGCCAAATGCCAAATGGAAACCATTTCTCTTACTCCCCCCCAGCCAGGACTTTTCTTATTATGTACGAATTTGTCATTTCCTCGAGCTGAAATGCAATTTAAATGCTGCCGTTCTGAGCGAAAAGGAATTTTAATGTTCTCCTTTTTTAATGGCGAGACATTAAAGCCCCGCCAAAGGAAAATCAACTTGAAGGCTTTCCACAAGGAAGTTAGACTTATTTGTCGAGAAGAAGCGGCAGCATATGTTGACCACCACTCAGTTGGGCATCTTTATTAGGCGGGTCCTGTACTGAAAGCGTAGAAAAAACAAAAAAAAAAGTGCAAAAATATGTTGCACATAAATTCGTATTAAGTTTGGCCCGCTGTCACTTTTTCTTAGCCTTAGCCTTAGCAATGCGGGCAGACAGCATTTCGACATAATCATAAATTTAAATATGCAACCCAGGGTTCCTGCCCCTCATACTCAGCCAAAAAAGAAAAAAACAAGAAGAAAGAAAACCAACTGAGTAGAAAAAACGCAGAGGAAAACCTTGGCAGTGACAGTTTCACTTTGCCTGGCATAAGGAATTTCCCCGGCTTGCCAGGCACACATGTTGCCCCAGCTTTATGCGTCCTAAATGGAGTTGTTTTGCAGCCGTCGAGATGGAAATGCTGGTAGTGGGGAAACGGAAGTGCTTCTGTCTCACACTCTCTCTCTCTCTTTCTACTTAGAAAAAGGTCTTTATTACCCAAAGATGGTACTAACCTGGAATCAGATTAAGACGGGCACTTGGGGTTCAAGTGTCACCCTTAATGTCCAAAAGGCATAGCCAACTAAATGGGGAAAGTTATTTAAGATATATTAAGACTGTCATTAAAATTACAAATACTTTAAGAGTAAAGGGGAATGATGTCGATTTTGGGATAATCACTAGTACCCTGAACTGAAAAAGAAACTCTTAAATTTAGACCTCCAATCCTTTGATTCCCAAAAATCAATTAACTTTAGATTAATACCAAATCTTCCCCAAGAAAACTATTAATTAAATATTTAATCAGCGGCCAGTCCGAGCCCTAGCACCTTGAGTTATGGTCACCATTGCCACCATTACTATATTCCCTGTTCAATCAAGTAATTTTAGGCGATTTACCAAAGGAAAAGTGGCAAGAAAAATGCTCGGAAAAGTTGGGGGAAATCCAACACCTGGGAACCCTTTTCACCCTTTTCACCTCTTCATACCCCAAAAGCAACCCCCATCATCATACCCGGGAGTGGAGTCCCCAAAAATCTGACGCAAACATTTTCGAGTAATCCGAGTGAGACGAGGAGAGCAGAGAGCCAGGCAGAAAGGACAAATAAAATGTTTCGCAAAGCAAACTATGGGCCAACAATGGGTTTTGGGGCCAACGAGGGAGCAGCAAGGAGTTGGCCCCCAAGGAGGGACATTAGTTTATTAGAGTATGCGAGAAGCTTTAATGCCCGAAAACCTAAACAACAGATAAGGAGAACGGGTTGATCCTTGGACCGAAAGGAGTAGACAGGACACATTGCTAGTGACATGGCAAATGCATGTTATTGTTGTGTTATTTTGTGCTTAAAAACTAAGCGACAGAGAGAAAGATCTAGTTAAATGGTGAAAAGTTGCGGACATGGAAGGTGCTTCCGGATCAAGGATATACGCAAATAATGTTTGTAAACAATTTTTATTGCTTTCTGGTTGAGATGCTTTCTGGCCCGTATTTGCTTACAAAAGTAAAAGTTGTTGATAGAAATCACAGAACATAAACATTGAGATGCCAGCAAAAAGATAGAGATATATCCTCACACACACCCACACACACACAGATAGAGATCTCGGGGTGTGTACACAATAACATAAATTGCAGAATGTGACAAAGGGTTGTCCTCTGGCCGCCTCCTCAACCCCTTGAGTTGAGTGGGTCAGCAGCCCGAGGAATATAAATAACAAAGGCCGTAGAAATTCCCCAACTCCACCCCCGCTTCGAACTTCTGTCGATGACATCAGCAAACATTCGAAGAAATTGAAAAACCAATCTGAGTTGGCCACATACATGAGTTTTTACCACCTCCCCACCCCAGTTACCACAGAGCCACTGACATTGGCCAAAACCAAAAGACAGCGCCGAAACCAGGCAACCAATTCGCCGGCAAAGTTCGTGGGGACTTTAAAGTTAAAGCCAAATCGGTTGGGTATGGGCATTATCCTCTAAGATCCAACCCCTCACACACACACACACACTCTCACCTAGAACTAGCCAGAAAAGCAGACGTGGAGGAAATTGCTTGCCTTTCCTAACTAAAACTTGGGGAAATTATGAAATTCATACAGGAAGACAATTTTCTTCAACATCTAATTCGGTTGCTGCAGCTCCAAATAGGGCTACAGTGGAAATCATTTAAAATGAATTTAAATTTTTAATATAAAAATATAAATTTTTGTGATTTCGTTTAACTAAAGAAAAGTTGTTACTATTTTTAATCAGTTTCTCTAAGTTTCCTTTTCTAAAGTTCACCTTACCCATGTTCAACCGTATAACTTTAGCTACATTGCATCAGCCCGAAATTTGTTTGCGGTCTTAGCCATAAGTTTGTCCGTCGACAGGCAACTTGTGGCGGCTGTTGGCTGTTGGCTGTTGGCTGCTGCTCCTTGCTAGCTTTTGACTTCTGACAGCGTTAGCTATCCAATCTGAAATCCCGAGTCCCGA